GAAGAAACAGTCTTAAAGTCTTATCTGGAAAAGTTAGAAATGCAAAAACTTAACAAACTTTGAAAAATTCAAGTTTAGGATGTGGACTACTTGTATTTTCTAAAACAATACAGAAGGTAAATTAACCACAAAGTGATGGCAAAAAGTGTGTGCTGTTTTGCTATTGTAATTCATCTGTAAAACTCAAGAGGAAGGCAGCTTCATCTACTTGTTTTGGTTGGGGTTTGTTTGAATATAAATATTTTATGAAGAGGTGGGAAACAATGAAAAGTGGAAGAGTTTTGGATGAGAAAGTGCTATTTTTAATGGATGTGAGTTACAAGCTAAAAAGTAAAAATAAAATAGATAATAAATTCCATATCACGATAAAGTGCGCATTATGTAAATAATTAGATTTATTCTATTAAATCTAAGTCTCAGATTCCGTTTATCAGTGACCTCACTTGGCTAAAGTAACGGGGAATAGACAGTCTTATCTGGAATGGCTGGTTGGTTAGCTGTTTGGTTCTCCTCATTGAGACAGCGCTACTTCATACAGTAACCTGGAAAAAAGGATTGAGGCAATTCAATCTCATATGATTATAAAAGGCTGAACTGAATGGCTGATTCTACCTAAAACGGTATTTAGAAACTATGTAATGAATAAACTTTGATTTGATTAGTTAAGCAGAGAGATTGGGCCATCCAGGTCCCCTCTTGCTCAGAGAGGGCATCTTCTTTGTTCAGTTCTGTCAGATATTGATTTAACCGACCCTAAATGATCTCAGATTGATCCTTTTAATATTTATTCAAATTAAAGCAGAGTTTTAAAATGAAGTGGGGGGAGGGGACATAATCCTGACAAGAGATACCACCGCTCTAGGGAAAGCGAATCTAGGCCAGGCATCTGCACGCATGAATTCTGTTGACCTCGTCCGTGACGTGGGTGGAAGCCAGTAACGAGCAGATCAAGTGAACACACGGCTGCCATGCTTGAAAATGCTTTACTCAATCTTTACAAATTGGTGTACACTAGAGTATTGTGTTCTGCCTTTTTGCTTTTCATAAGCGTCCCCTTAAAGAACAGTAAAATGACATATTTTTGCAACTCTTTGAAAGGCTTTTTCTAAAGAAAATTGTATTCTCAGAAACATAAATGCCACTCTCTTCTAAAATCTTTATCTTCCTTACTATGTGACGTAAGAATATATTCTGAAAAGGCCACGGGGCCCGGTAGGGCCGGGGAGGGAGAGCAGCTGGGCTACCACCACAAATCTCCAGGGCCTGGTTCCTTATACTTACATGGCACCACAGTCCTCGTTGCATGGGTCTTACAGGGCATGGTTTTTGCTGTTCATGGTGGGTTTTGTTTTTTTTTTAAGAGGTTTTTGGGTTTTTGTTTTTTTTTTTAATTTATTTGTCAGAGAGAGAGGAGCAAGAGCGAACACAGGCAGACAGAGTGGCAGGCAGAGGCAGAGGGAGAAGCAGGCTCCCAGCCAAGCAAGGAGCCCGATGTGGCAAGGAGCCCAGGATGCTGGGATCATGACCTGAGCTGAAGGCAGAGGCTTAACCAACTGAGCCACCCAGGAGTCCCTATTCATGGTGTTTTTATTTTAGTTGCTATTGGTGGTTGTGGTGGTGGTCTGGGGTCTGGGTGTGTATCTGAAGGTGGCTCTGGGAATGACAGGGGTGTTAAAGCAAGAGCAGAACCCAGAGGTCATTGACTTTAGGACAAGATAACATCCCAGTCTTTTTTTCTTATTACCGCCACATGATAGGCAGTCCACAGGCAATGTTTTAGGTGGGAACATATGTCTGAATAAGCAGACAATCAGCCAATTTTGAAGTCAGTCATTTGATGAAAAACAACATATGAAACACTTTACTTCAGTGCTAGTTATGAAAGTAATATGTTATACTCAGTAATAACTAGCTTATGGAAAGTGTTATCGCAAATATTTCCAGTAGTTTTCTAGAGTTTTATTTTTTTTTTCTGTCAAAACTTTACAGCTTAAAAAATTTACAACTAAAATTTATGGGAAAACCCATATAATTGGTATTATTTTATTCATATTTAATCAACACAGATATGGGTCTTTTGGGGGAAATGTTCAGGAAGCAGTGACCTGCATAGTCTCAAAAGGAGAAAGATATTTCACTCTTCAAAGCATTTTTTACATTATGATTTCCAACTTCTATCCACCTAAATTATTTTTCTCCCCAGTTATCACAATTGCAGCATCTTCATTTTCATTCTATTCTGCTTGATTGAAGACAATTAGAGTTCATATTTACTTGTCCTTCTTTTCATCTCCTTCATAACCACGGTTCCTAACCAATAATGCACATTAGAATAAGTTAAAAAAAAAAAAAAAAAGTCATGTCCTGCATCCAATCCCAAAAGAATTCACATTTACTAGGTTGGAAATACGTCTCTAAAAAGGTCACAAGAAACTCTAAAGCATAATTATAGTTAAGAAACACTGCATTTTAATCTAAAATGTTCTGGGTCACTTGTCCATCTGAAGATTCAATAATGAAAGTAACTCCTTCCTTTAAGAAATGCACATACACATAAACACATGGAAATGAAAAAATGCTTTCATAAAGTCATATCCTAAGACTTTGTTGCCCGAAACTACTAGACTCCTACCTTATGATTCGAATACCTAACAGTGAGTACTTCTTCTCCCCTTACTTTTACCCACTGTGAACACTCTGTTAGCCCTACTGTCACACTCCCCAGCCTCCTTTCCATTTGAAGGTAGACAACATTTGACTACGTTATATCCAGGTACAATTTAGCCCAGAGTTTACAAAAGTAATGGAAAGTAATACAAAAAGAGGGATAGCTCATGTGCGCTACTGTTAATTGATTAAATACTACACTGCCTGGGAAAGGGCGGAAGAGGGGTCTCCCTAACAAAGAGGAGAACAATAGGGTAAAAATGAATGGTTCACACTAATTACAATAGTGCCTTGGCTTAGTACTAAGAATAGGGTAAATTCTTGGTGGAGAGATATTCAAAGAAAGGGGAGCAAACGAGTGAATGAATGAAGAGCTGAAGAACTGACTAAGTAAGCAGAAAGGAGAGAAGACCTTGTTCTTTTCACTGTCTTGTTGTCTCATTGGCCATGTAAGGGCATTAGAAACAATTTGGTTTCTCTTCCATCACACAGGATTCCTGCATACTTCCCATTACTTTGTGAACAGAAGGAAGGAGATCCATTTGCCAGTGGAGGGCAGGTATCCAATCTGTAGATTAAGAGCCCATGGTGAGGAGGAGCCAAGAGAGATAGTGCTATTTGACAGTCTTTAGACATGATTAGCTAAAGGCAAGCAGGTAAAGTAAGTATTTGCTACAGACTTTTTAATATTGGGGAAACTTATAAAACATACTGCTTCAACCCAAAAATAAAACTTATTCCTTCAACTTCTGAAATAATGAGGCAGATCTATGTGCCTTCACATGAAACAAATGTCCAGGATACAGAGATAATAAATTAGATCACAGAATGCCGTTATTTGTGTGATGTGTATAACACAGAACATTGCCAAAAGGATACAAAAGATACTGGTAATGGAGGTTGCCTTTAAGGATGGAATTGGGTGGCTAGGAGAAATGTTGGGAGGGAAATTCACTCTACACCAAATTGTTATAATTTCTGAGCTTTGTGAAATGTACACACATTGCCTATCAATGAATATTTTTTAATCTTAAATGATACAAAATATAATATTAATATGTAAAAACAAAACCAAAAGTTTTAGTCACCAGTGGAATTATATTTTAAATGCTGTGATGTAGTCTGATAACATATGCCGCTAGCAGATCAAACATATTTGGCCAAAAATACATTAATGGATAAGGTGTGTGTACTACCTCCCCTATTTTGCTGTTATATTCATTGTGATTTTTTAAATGTGACGAATATAGCAGTAGGACAGTTGTAAATAAAAGCCTTTTATGAGATGGGAGTCAGTTGGAGTTCTGCTTCATCCACTTTCATGGATGCCAACAGTTTCATAAAAAAGAAATCATCATAATTTCTTACACTTCAGACACAATACTGACTCCACAAGCAGTCAACTGTACACATGGTCTCCTAGGAGACTACTTTTTCAAGAACTATGAGACTACGTTAGAACACCATTCAATCATAGTACTCTACTTCCCTTTTGTCTCTGAAGTGGTGGTAACTCTATTAATCAATCTATTAATCCCTCTTGGAATGCGATGATTAATTATTATGCAATGCCTAAGTGCTGGCTGAAATGCAAGATAATCCAACTCAGGTGATACAAGAAAAATCAGTGTGGAAAACAAACATCATTTTTAACTTCATTTATTTGTAGCTTAAAATGTAATGCCATACAATCTTAACAATCACTTAAAAAAGGATTTATATTTGCATAAAACAGAAGCAAAACAGAAAGATATGAAATAAAATGCCATCTTGCTTCAAGTTTTCAAATCAGTACTTAGAGTACTAATATACATCTATATACATTGCAAGTATATATAAATATACTATGAGTAATCTTGAAACCACAATAAATATCAAGTAGGTTTTTAGGCACATGGCATAGGAAAATGCAGAATCTGCATAATTCTTGAGAGTGCTGAGTGACTCATTCTTAGATCATTTTCACACATATATTTTACACAAAATATGCAACCATCGCGCACATGATCCCCAGTCACCTTCGAATCTAAACTGTCATCCAGCATTAGTGCCTTCTTATTCTTTGATACTATTGCTCTATACAGCTATTACATAAGAAAATATTTTGCAGTTTTCTTCAGATAATTGCCTAAGAAGGTATCAATGCTACCAAAATAAGTACAGCCTATCTACACAATATATTCACGGAAGTGTGCTTAGAGGCACCAACTTACAGAACTGTTCATTGTAATACTGGGAGTTACCCTCAAGGCAAACATAAATTTTAAATTATGCCATTTTTGAATTGCCAATATTATTAAACCAGAAATTATTAGAAACTGAGGTAACGCCTGTTTTTTTTTCTTTTGAGATAGAAATGCTTGAAAAAACACCAGAAGTATTTTTAAAAATTCTGACAAGTTTGGACCTCAGTCACTATAAGCTCTGTCTGCAACTCTTTCTGCACAAATGTAAACCGAAGAATCCGAAGGAATGCTCTAGTTGAATGTACATGTACTTAGGATTAAAGATCACAGCCAAGGAACACCTGAGATCGCCCTCTGGTAAGTGAAGCCTAATGCTTCTCTTAGTAGAGCCAATGTTCATTGATAAAAATGAACCAAATAAAGCCCACTGATATTTTCCTCCCAGCTACAAGTCAGATTCTGGCATATCCGGCATATCTGCCATCAAGTACCCTATTCCATATCGTCCATTGGGAGCAGTATCCAGAGTAGGTGATCCACTCTGTTTTCGGTAAATATTTTTACCAAAATTTGGAGATGACATCTCGCTGGATATCTTCCCATGAATGAGGCTTGCATCATCTCCCTCTAAGTTTACAGGCTCTTTCAGGACCCTTCCTCTCTTATAGGTCACAGATGCTAAATTACCAGAACTATTGTCTATTAGGTTGCAGTGACGAATGACAAAGACGGCTGGGACGGGGAGTATTGCCAGGACCATCAGCAAGATACAGACAACTAGTCCCCATGTTGGATAGCTCAGAAATTCTTCAGATGCCTGTGAAAGCCAAAAAAAATCATTATTGATGATCTTGCTCTGTAAGTACATGGAAAAAGAATTATATTTGTCTCAGGTCTATAAGCAAAGAGTCTTGTGATATGCTCTGACCAACAGAATGCTGCAGAAGTGACATCAATCAACTTTAAAGGCGAGGCTTTACAGGACTGGTGAGTTCTGCCTCTATTCCGTGGGATGTTGCCCTGAGTCCATTAAGCTAGGAAGAAGCCAAGAATGAAAGATTACATAGAGAGTGACTGGCCCTCTAAGTTCAGTCAACTACAGGAGTTAGCTCAGGTAAAGCCTAGAGAAGAATGACCCAGTTCACCTGCAGAACGCTGAGAAAAATAAATGAGCACTGCTCTCAGTCATTAAATTACATGGGCCACACTGTCTTTCTAAAATCTGAAAATCTAACTCTTGAAGCACACCTCGCCCCAAGGGCTATAGTAAGGGTTAACAGATTTGTTAATGCCCCAGTCATGAATTTAGTTATTATATAGAGTTATTGACCATAGAACAGTTCAAGGTCAGAGATATCTCTGAAAAATAAGCATTCTGGAGTAATGGGGTGGCTGGGTGATGGACATTGGGGAGGGTATGTGCAATGGTGAATGCTGTGAATTGTGTGAGACTGATGAATCATAGAGCTGTACCCTGAAACAAATAATACACTGTATGTTAATAAAAATAAGCAATTTTTTAAAAATATAAGCATTCTGATTTTATAACAATATGTATCTTTATTATGAGGTAGCTAATGCAATGAAAACAGAAATTGAAATTGTCATTGCTAATATATTTCCTTCAATATTTATTTCAGTTATGCCTTCATGGCTAATGCATATGTTCTCGTTATATAGTATCTAGGATATGATTTCATAAGTTTATATAGGAAAAATATTCCTGGTGTTTTGTGCAATATGTTTTCTAGGGTCAAAGGCCCCATAATTATTGGTTCATCTATGGTGACGTAAACACAGCTACTTGGTGAGAACCAAGACCATGTTTCTCACGTATTAAAAAAAATCTTCAATCCGTAACAAATCATGCATGTCTGGGGCCAAACAAAATATAAATCTCAAGATCCTTGCATTAAAAACAACACCATTCATTAAGCAGCAAAATATAGTGTGAAGAAAGCAAAAGACAAAACCCCTAAAATAATATTTCACATATATTTTTCATCTAACTTCCTTATTTTCTATTTTACCTTATCTTCAATCCATGCATTATAGCCAGGAGGACTTAATCCCATATTCACAACGCTGGCTATTAGCAGTGATAATAGCATTAGAGGAGAAATATATTTCCACATATAGTAGTAGTATCTATTGGGAGCAAAGCCCAGCATATCTTTCAGGTCTTCCACAAATCTAAATAAAAAGAAAGCACTTAATTATGCCTCAAGTCAATTTTTCTATGCCTTAAAAATGTGCATTATATCAACAGTTTGACAAGGGTTTAGCTAAGATACCCTACGACATTGTATACAGAATCAAAAAATCATATTGGGAGATGACTTACAAATTAAGAACACTTAATAAGTAAAATGTAAACAGTTAAGTACTGTGAATTTTGTTTAGTGAAAGCCCTCTTAAACCAATTGCTGAAGGGTGTCTGGGTGGCTCAGTGGTTTAAGCTCCTGCTTTCTGCTCAGGTCATGATCCCAGAGAGTCCTGGGATTGAGTCCTGCATCAGGTTGCCTGCTCAGCAGGGCATCTTGCTTCTCCCTCTGCCCCTTCCCCACGCTCTCTGTCACACAAAAAATAAAATCTTTAAACCAATTTCTGAAAAGCCTCCCACTGATGACTTTCTACTCTATAAACACAATATTCGCAATACATTAAAAATTCCTTGTGTTGGGGCGCCTGGGTGGCTCAGTCATTGGGCATCTGTCTTGGGCTCAGGTCATGATCCCAGAGTCCTGGGATCAAGCCCTGCGTCAGGCTCCCTGCTTGGTGGGAAGCGTGCTTCTCTGTCTCCCACTCCCCCTGCTTGTGTTCCCTCTCTTGCTGTGTCTCTCTCTGTCAAATAAATAAATAAAATCTTTTTTAAAAGTTCCTTGTGTCTTCTTTTAACTTAGCAATAATTACTTCAAGTCATCCAGTATCCGATCAGTGCTTACATAATGTAAACTTTCACTCCTTGTCATCATCTGTTTGAATTGAAAGAAGGTCCACAAACTGCAACTGACTGATGTATTTCTCAAACTCCTTGTTCATCTCTACGTTCCTCTCACATGTCTTTTCTGTTTCTTCCAATTTTTTTGTTCAATCGGCTGGACACTTTATACCATAGGAATCCCACAGTCTGGATTTTGCTATTACATCCACACAGTGTTGCTTCACAAGCACATCTGATCCTCCTACTTCCTATAGATTAGCACTTAGACCTAGTAACCGTTAGGCTTATGTTGTTGTTTTAAGTAAGGTTATTATGGTGTTATTTACATGAAATAAAGTTCACCCTTTCAGGTATATCACGTTAATGCTGACAAGGCGTATTCATTACATAGTGGTCTATATCCCTCATTGTTCGTCTAGAGATAATCACATAAGCACCCACCAGTGCTTGCACCAATGTTCCAGTAGATTATTTGGTTGTGTAAAGACAGTCCTCTAGCAGAGACTTCCAAGAGAACTCATAGTAACTATATTTCCTAATTTCTTGTATGTTCATAATTGTCTGTCTCTGGCCACTATACTTGAATGTGAGAGTTGCTGGTTGAAAAGCCTGTGGCTTATGTTTCTTTGCTTGAGAGTTGTAAATATTTCTAACTACCTGATATTGTTACACAAAGTTTGTTGACTATCAGATTGTTCTATCATAAATAATTTTGTTTTGTTAGTTAGCGTTTTTGCTTAGATGGCCTTTTTTCTTTTTTTTTCTCTTTTCTTTTTTCTTTTCTTTTCTTTTCTTTTTTTTTTTTTTTATGTCTTAAAGTGAGAGCCTAGACTACGTCCTGGTGTTAGCTTATGTCTATTTTTCAAAGTGTATCATGTGCCCTTTCAACATTCAGGTTGTCACTTATTTCAGGCAAGTTTTTCAATTACAGCATTTAGTATTGCTCTGGCCACCGTTTTTAGAGAACTTCATTGTTGTACACACGTGGAGTCGTCTTTGTTTAACTCCTATTCCTATTCCTTTTCTTAGCTCCTTTGTTATTTCTCCTCCTTTTTTAAGATTTTATTTATTCAAGAGAGAGATAGATAGTGAGAGAGTGTGAGCAAGGGGGAGTGGGAGAAGCAGACTCCCTGCTGAGCAGGAAGCCTGAGGTGGGACTTGATCCCAGGACTCTGGGCTCACAACCTGAGTCTAAGGCAGACGCCCAACAACTGAGTCACCCAGACACCCCTGGTATTTCTTCTTGATTAAAAAAAGTATTTTTTGATTAAAAAAATTATTCCTCCTTTCTAGCTTCTCATTCTTGTGGAACTAGCCATTGTGCTTATTGTTGTTGTGTTTTTAATCCGATCATCATTTCTGAATATTATTATTCACATTCTTATTCACATTTCCTGAGTTCTATCACCTGTTTTCAAATCTTCCTTTTCTCTAATTCTCATATTTCTTGATTTTTAAACAACTGATACATGCTATTCTTTTTCTTCTTGAAAAATATATTTCAACTCATTTTTTGAAATATGGTTAGTTTTCCATCTATTTTGCTTGTGTGCTTTTGTTGTCTGCAGGGATCTATTCTGCTCCTTTCCTCTTTTCAAAAAAATTTTTTCTTAAGATTTGACCACATTCAAGGAAAATAAATTTTCTTGTATTTTTAGACACTAAGATATACACTAAAAAATGGCAAAGCATTTTTTTGGCATTTTCAAAAAAGAGATTTCTATCATGGAAAGTTATTGTTAGGCTCGTAGGCAATGTGTGCAGAGTACATTACCTCACACACAGTAGGAATTTAATAGGTGCACAGATAGTAGGAATTTAATAGATATCAGTTTAATAACTACCATTAGTAGTAGTATCACTTCTGCTGTTGTTAACTATTATTATTTAGGGACATTAACTACTAAAAAGAGATAATTTGTACTATGCTTATTGTAAATTACAAACTATGTAAATGGAAATCTAAATTATGACCTTATTGATCCACAGATCAGTCCAATAATAACATCAAATTCCAACACAGTGCAAGTTAGGGATTAGGAATATCTTGGTAGAGTATAGAGATACCTAATTTTGAAATTAAGGTCTAAATTACAATCCTGGCTCTATAACTAATATACTTGTTCTCCTGTACAAGCAAGGCCAATTTTTCACCTATAATATGGATGACATTAGTTACCACAGGGTATTTTTATGAGGATTCAGATTTAATGTACGTCAAACAGCTATTACTTCTATTGCCATATAGTACATGATCATTAAAAGTAAGTCTCCCTCCCTTTCCTTGCCTGGAGCTTTTGACACTAATAAAAACATTCATCAATCTTGTCACAAAGCTCATTCAATACCAGTAACATTCTCTATGTTGTTTAAGAGAACTCCCGTCTCCATGCAACACATTCCTCCTTCACACAGACCTCTAATAAGCTTGCCAATCTTATTGCCTTAGTCCATATATGTTAACTAAAGACAACAATTTTTTAAAATATTGTATAAAATCTCCAGTAACATTTTTCTTCTGAGATTACTCTAATGCCTCATTTCACTCCAAGTATACATACTTTTCACATCAAGCAGGTATGTAATTTAGAGGTTTAGGCATCTAGTTGTTCAAGTAATGACTCCACGTGAACAAGAAGTTTGTGCATACTAAATGCCACACATGCCTCAGAGCAGGATAGATCATTTCCCAAAACTAACCTGCTACATAGGCCTTTAGATAGCATAATAAAATAAGGCATTATGTATCATAATAAAATAAAATTCCTCCCATAAAAGAGATTAGCAAAGTAATTAGGAAGGCAGGCTTTAAAGTTAAGCAGAGACAGCTATGAATCCCAGGTGTGCCTCTGCCCAGGTGATGAGCAAGTCACATGGGGTGTCTCATAAGCCTGAGAAATGTGAAATATGGACAATAATAATAACACAATTTAACAAGGTTCTTGGAGCATAGCCATTACTCACTAGATCCTGGAAGTTACTATTTGATAACTAGAATTAAATCAAAACTTCAGAATCCTAGATTATATTGCCATCTGCACAATTCTATCTAATCACCTAATAGGGGAATATACTTTATTTAAAAGGATTGAACAAAGAAGAGCATACAAAAGATTTGATTTTCTTGCAAAGATTTTTTCCCTCTAGTCATTTACCTCCTCTTCTAAATGAAAAAGATATTGACAATTGATCTTCCCAATATAGAGATGAAAAATGAATGCCTAAAAGCAAATATACTTACTTATCTATGCCATAAACAAAGGATACAGCAATATTCTCCAAAATAACTACAATTAGCAGAGGCAGTGTAGCAGAATAATCATCAAACATTGTAACGAAGTAATTTCCAGAGCGTTGCACAAATATCAGGCCGATACAAAATGCCAGAAGACAACAGATAACTGTACAAAAGAAATAGATGAAAAAATTAAGTTTTTATTCAGTCCAGCCTTTTAAATTTAATTATGAGTTATTACATGCAATCATTGTGGTCTTCACTTTTATAACTTGTCAATGATAAAAACAGGCAACACCTTTCCTGATACTATGCAATATAATACATTGGGAGTTTCCTGGATTTAGCCCCGTATTTAATATGAATCCATTGTAAGAGAGTGACCTTTGACCAGCTACTATTACTGTAAGAGCTTAAAGAGATTTCTGGGATCCATATAATATTCCCATATTTATGTCAGACTCTGTTCTCTCACACACTTTAGTAGAGAAGCTTTCAAAAATAAAAGATGAGGGGTGTCTGGGTGGCTCAGTTGTTGGGCGTCTGCCTTCGGCTCAGGTCATGATCCCAGGGTTCTGGGATTGAGCCCCATATCGGGCTCCTTGCTTAGCGGGAAGCCTGCTTTGCCCTCCCCCACTCCCCCAGCTTGTGTTCCCTCTCTCGCCGTGTCTGTCTCTGTCAAATAAATAAACAAAATTTTTTAAATAAATAAATAAATCATACAAAATGACTGTGTTCTATTTCTCAGCCACCTTTAAGCAGAGATGTAAAAGTAGCAGAGCAGGTACTGGCTGTTTGGGAGGGGAGAAAACAGACATCCTTGGGTTCAATCACGTGGCGGTTCCCTAATAGTCTCCCTAAGTATGGGTTAAGTGAAGTTATCACTGCCCTCTCTTAAGCACAATGCTAGTAGTAGGAGTCGCATCATACATAAATGGATGTTATACATAAACATACAATGTAGAGAAGGAAAAGTAACAGTTACTTGGAGTCTGTCACATGTGGAAATATTTAAACGCTTGCCCCGGTATATTGCACGCCAAGTCTCAGATAGAAGCAGCAGGGCTTGAACCATAGGCCTGTGTCACATTCACTCTCACCTACTTACACTGTGGTACATGGCGAACATGAAGAAAGCATATTCTAGGTGGTACAGATAGTAAGAGATTGTCTGGAGACTACAGAGTAAAGGTTGTTAAGTAAGTTACTTATCTAACTCCTACTGTACTATCAGAGAAGACGAGAGCACATCTGGCCAAGGTGATGGAGGAACGTTGCATCACAGCCAAGTATGGCTTTAAGTATAGGCGTGATCCCAGAAGACAGGTAATGGGAAAAGAGAGGACATTCCCCTTTGCTCTGACCAAACAGGATCTCCAGTGGGGTTCACCAAATACTACCTTGTGTGTTTTTTTCCCACTATGCTGTCGCTCTTCCCTTATTTTTGCAAGCCCTCTTATTATAGGAGGGTTTCGATATGGGGCACAGATGAGGATAGCAGCAAAGATGTTATGTAGTGCGCACAGCGGGTGGGATACTGGTAGCCTTGAATTCAGTAGGGGCTTCAGAAGTGGAGACTGCCTTTTTGGGGAGAAGATAAGGAAGTTTCTCACTTATGTCCAGTTGAATAGAGGATATTAAGACATAAGTATTCAACAAACTGCTGAAATTGTTTTACACATACATGTACAAACTTAGCAGCGTGGTAATTAATAAAGATACGTATTTTGAAGGTTATTTACACAGAAGTAATTTATTACTAAATCTTTCAGAGCTAAAAACAGAACTTTGAGGAGCTATATACTACTGCCCAGCATTCAATATCATAAAGATATAGATACAGATACAGAAATATTTCCCAATTTGTTTTTGCATCACTTACCAACACTATGCCTGCACTCTAGCCTGGCTGGCTTCCTTAACGGTTCCCTTTATCTCTGCTTAGATATGTTAAACTAAAGCTATTACTAAAGCTCTCCTCTGACCTCTGCAAGACTCTTCCCCTTTCCAATTCAACTGCCATCCCGGTCACTGATAGTTCCATCACATATTCAGATGACCCTCACAGCGTCTTAATTCCTGTAACACGTTAAATCGCTACTATGCCATCTATGGTGTAAGTCTTATGTACCAGATTTGGTTTTGTTATCAGTACTATTATTTTTGGAGACAAGGCTCTCCTATATCTCTCTTTTATAATTTCTCTTATATCCTTCAAATGCAAGGGTGGTGCAGTACAAAATGGGAACTTCATTTTTTTTTTTTAAGATTTTATTTATTTGACAGAGACAGAGAGAGAGAGCGCACAAGCAGGGGAAGTGGCAGGCTGTGGGAGAGGGAGAAGTAGGCTCCCCTGCAGAGCAGGGAGCCCAAAGTGGGGCTTGATCCCAGAACCCTGGGATCATGGCCCAAGCTAAAGGCAGTCACCCAACCAACTGAGCCACGCAGGAGCCCCCAAAACTGGTACTTTAATAATTGCTTCCAGATTGGACTTACAATAACTGTCAATATGGATTATTTTATTTTCTTTCCTAATTAGAGATACTAACTACTAGTAGGCTACAAGAGCTATTTTATATGAGAACTGAACTTGGGTTTATCAATTTCAATGATGCACTTTTTGGAAAAGGAACATTGGATCTGAACTTTTAAAAATAATTACTTGTTTCATTTACAAAATTAGATATGAACATTCTGTGACTTCATTCTATTCATGATAGATTCATGATAGTGACATTACTATTAATAAAAAGTAATATAAGCACCAAAAAATAATACAGTCTACATTGAATCTATCATTTGCATTATATATAACATACAAATAAAATAAGAAATAATAGTAATACATATTAATAACTGGGGATTAACAAAACACTTTCCATTTCCATCTGTGACCTCTCGCCAAGAGAAAATGGCCTGTATCCATTCAATGAGAAGTCAAATACTTAAAAACTCACCAGTAAGAATTTCTTTCCTCATTTTGAAAGTGTCCACAACAGGCGTGATGATCCCTTCAATGGTTCCAAACATGCTACCAAGCCCTAGATTTACCAGCATGAGGAAGAACATCACTGACCAGAAGGGGGAGGCAGGGAAATGTGTCATGGCTTCTGTAAAGGCAATGAAAGCTAAACCAGTCCCTTGAACAGCCTGCAAATTATACAAAACAGCAACATTAGTACTGAGCAATATTAAGGGATGCCCATATGTATCAGTCACAGAGGGGAGGGAATACTCAGAACAATGCTTGGCAGTTACTGGAAATAGATAGGCTGATATCATGCTGTCTCCTGAGAAACTGCCTCTAAAGAAAGGTTGATTGCGTTATTTCATAAAAACCACAGACATACCGGAACTTAAAAAGGAAGAAAAACAAAACTTTAAAGGCTAAGTTAGTAAGTTAATTTTTCTTTACTGAACTCAAAATTTTTATGATAGCTCCATCCATAACTTCCTGCACGTGAGTCGTTAGGTTTTGTCTTATGTATAGTGTACGCTATCTTACTGCAAGGGATCAATGGTCGATTTCTCCATTATATTTCCCTTTTTGGCAATAGAGCAAAAGGGCAACAACCAATACAGTAACACTTATTAATGTTCACCTGTTTCATGTTTATTAAAATAAAGTAAATTAAAATAAAACTTTTTTAGCTAAACAAAAGGAGTTAATCGTGACTCGTCAAACATAAATATTAAAATGGCTAAATATCAGTTATATGTCCAAATAATTGTGCAATATATAAATGATAGTCATAATTTAAATTTTCTATTAAAGATCAGACTAGGGACGCCTGGGTGGCTTAGTTGGTTAAGCGGCTACCTTCGGCTCAGGTCATGATCCCAGCATCCTGGGATCGAGTACCATACCGGGCTCCTTGCTCAGCAAGGAGCCTGCTTCTCCCTCTGCCTCTGCTTGCCATTCTGCCTGCCTGTCCACTAGCTCGCTCTCTCTCTCTCTCTCTCTCTGACAAATAAATAAATAAATAAATCTTTAAAAAAAAAAAAAAAAAAAAGATCAGACCAGGAAAAGTATCAGACTAATTTCATTTTCTATGACAAAAATCAATTTATATTCATATTTTACATTTTTGCAGCTGAATCAGTAAGGAGGCTTTTTAAAGTAAAGCAAATATTTATAATTTAAGTACATTCTTTTGATTTCTCTCATTTTTTTCTCTTTGTTTGTTTTGTTCCTTAAATTCACCACATGTTAACTAACTGGAATTAAAATAAAAACTTTAGGGACGCCTGGGTGGCTCAGTGGGTAAAAGCCTCTGCCTTCTGCTCAGGTCATGATCTCAGGGTCCTGGGATTGAGCCCCGCATCGGGCTCTCTGCTCAGCAGTGAGCCTGCTTCCCCCTCCCTCTCTCTCTTGTCTACTTGTGATCTCTGTCTGTCAAATAAATAAATAAAATCTTTTTAAAAATAAATAAATAAAATAAAATAAAATAAATAAAAACTTTAAAAGTATGTTCTCTGAAATAAAAAATGTGAATTTTGAAACAGCATAATCTTCCACCAGCATTTGAAAGGTCATTTTCCTAGAAGTCTTCTGGATAATGCATATTTTACCCAAGTGATAATTACTGTATTGCTTAAACAGAGGCTACTCACTTTATTTAGCTCATCCTCGATTTGACAGGAATTGAGATGAAGAGCAGGAAATTCTTCTTCTTTCACTTTTTGAATGATGTCATAAACTAAATGATAATCTTCTGCAGTAACGGATGAAAGGTTGATATGATGAGGAATAATATCCTTGCTAATATTGCCCATTTTCAAAAATTTTACGATCATTTTGGAATTTCTAAAAAATAGAACAACATAATGAATGAACATCTATGGGTCCGGGGAGGGGGGTAATACTTTTTATATCATTATACCATCAAAAGCTAAAGGAAATTAATATCCATACTCTGCTATGCATTTCTCATTTATGACATTTGCTTTAAAGCCCAGAACTGCAAACACCACCAATGTTGCCAGGACGGATGTAAAAAAATTAATGAAGGACACCAGAACAGCATCAAAGTGGCAGTTGTTGTCTCTTTTGTTGTAGCTTGAAAAGGCGATGACGCCACCAAATCCCAGACCTAAGGCAAAGAACACCTGAGTAGCAGCTTCTCTCCAGACCTTGGGTTCCAGCATCATTTCAAGCTGTTTAAAATTAAACATAATAGAAGTCAGCTGCAAAATAGTACTTCAGAAAAATCTACGCGGAATTAGTTCTACTATCTAAATATATCATAATGATATTTATGCACCCAACGTTTATTTAAACTGGGGGAATAATCTGTTCTTAGTAAAAATAACCAAGTTTTCACTTAGTAGTGAGACAAGAAATATGAGTAAGAAAAACTAAAGACAATCATGTAGATGGAGATTTTACTCAAATGGAGACTTTCTACTTCTATAGGAATTTTTAAGTTATCTTTATAACAAATCAAAAGGACTATTTTGAAATTAACTATCTTCAAATCATTTCCTATTTAAGTCTTTGTATTCTTTCCAAAGCAAAATAAGTTAATTACCAATAAAGTCTAATTATTTACCTAACACCCTAAGTTTTGTGTTTTCTGGGGGTAGTCTAAGAGTCAAGGCAGATAATAAGCAGATTATAAGCTTGGGAGAGTTGACTATATACTTCTCATATTCATGTGTGTATTTGGCATTCCTTTCAATAGTTTTCTGAAAGCTTTTTCTTTGAAAATTGAAGCACTTCCACTACATCATCTCTAAGACCCTTTTGGAGTCAAACGTCTACAGTTCTGAACCTGTGCTGAACATATATTTCAAGGAACTCTGCTTTACTTCTTGGACAATTACCACTGTACATAATCCAACTTTTTAAATGGAACAATTAATATTAGCCATATCTGACCCAGATGTCAGTAAACAGGTTTGATTTGAGTAACTAAAGTGTTTAAATTGGTATTTTATCTCTTTTTACTATTGCAACGAGATTGCCTTCACTGGGGGCAATGTCAAATGTGGCTAAGAAGATGAGTTCCACAGTTTCAGATCCTGAGTCTGCCATTTAATAACCTGTAAATGGTGTAATCTCAAATAAGGGGCAGCTCTCCCTGAGTTTCAGCTTCTTCAACTGAAGATGGGCACTTCCAAGCCATATGGCACTCTATCGCATTCTCTACCACACTCTAAGTGTTCAATAATTGTTGATGTATATGGACTGTACTGGTAGGAACACTGATAACCACTTTGTATGGATTATTTCATATAATCTTCAAAACAATCAATGAAATTTGTTGCTACCATTATCTGAATCTTAAAAAGGTTAAGTAACCTGCTTAAAGTTACACAACAGTTCTGGGGTAGAGAGGAAATATGAACCAAAGTGGACTCCAAAATGCATATTTTCTCCAATGTTAGGATTTTTTTGGTTCAAATTTAGTTACTAGGATTTAATTATTTCTGTTACTAGTTACTAGGATATATTGCCCAATTTCAGTTCACTTTATCAATTTTAGTGACTATTACTGAAATTGAATATAATAGATTATATAATATTATAATAGTGTTATTATAGGCAGACATCAAACATAATCACAACTGTATTTATAACTTCTTAAAATTTAACTGAAATATGCATACTGTTTGTTGATCACGTTTGTTGATCGCTACATTACCATTCTATCATTAATACTGATCTCAAGTACACTCAGCTATCTATCTCTACTTTAACCACTAGATGGCAGGCAACACCCATTTACTAAAGACATTATTACGCTTCCTTCCAATTTGGGAACTAAATTTCCATTCGCTGTTTTGGGGATAGTTTGTGTGCTTTACTTCCTCCCTTGGATGAACAATGTAAATTAAAAAGTAATTGTAACTATCGTTATTATGACCTAACACAGAATTTTATCTATAGTCCATGAAAAGTGAGCTGAGGAACGAATTAACTTTAATAATGATTCTTAGTCCCAGGTTAAAATGTCAATAATGCCACAGTTTTAAATATGGGGCCATGTAAAAGTGTCATATAAAAGTAGCTGAATCCTGGGGCGCCTGGGTGGCTCAGTGGGTTAAGCCGCTGCCTTCGGCTCAGGTCATGATCTCAGAGTCCTGGGATCGAGCCCCGCATCGGGCTCTCTGCTCTCTAGGGGAGCCTGCTTCCTCCTCTCTCTCTGCCTGCCTCTCTGCCTGCTTGTGATCTCTCTGTCAAATAAATAAATAAAATTTAAAAAAAAAAAAAAAAAAGTAGCTGAATCCTAAGATAGCTATTTAAATCAAATATTTAGAATTATGTCACAAGCAATTGCCAACTTATAGAAGGTGATATTCCAGAAGTTCATATCAAAGCTGGTTGTTTTAAAATCAGCAATCTTTTAGATATTACAATATAAATATTTTTCATCCATAAATATGGCCCATTTGAAGGTAATTTAAATTCTAATGCAAGCTATATAGTCTATATATCTTAACTAGCTATTCACAGAGGAGTTCCAACAACTCTAAATGCTAACCAGGACTTTTGAATTAGTCAAGAAAATCAGATACCAGTGGCAGCATTTTTGCTACTAGAGAATGAACACTAAGCTGAAACCTGATACCCAAAGAACACAGCCTCTTTTACACAGTATCCAGGCAGCTGCCAGGAGTGACAGAGAATTCCAGGAAAGCTAATTTCTGCCCAAATCCCACAGCATGATGCTGGCTGCACATTCACCCTTCAGGTAACATCCAGTTTCTGAACTAATTTTGAAACCTTATCTTTATAACTCCATGTCTGCCTGTAATAGTGAACTAATGAGGTGTCAACTTCATTTCAGTGAGTAACTCAATGTATCTATACCTCAAAACTTGTTTTTGTTTCCTGCCAAATCACTATACCAAGTCCAGGAGGACTGATTAGTAATCAGGTTCAAGGTGCCCAGCATTGAGTTCAGCTCTAAGATGGATGAGAGAACATAAACTCTGAACCTTTTGTGGAGCCTAATGAGAACTTCTCTGAAATGTATATGCATTTACAAAGATTACAAAACTTCCCAAACTCACCACTGTAATTATTATTCTAGGAGGCACGAAACCTCAAAACAAGAACATGGATATTCTCTGAGACAGGACTTAGAGTACAGAAGCCTTCTTAGCCTGGGTTCATGGCTCTTAGGCCTTCTGTCAACCTTCTGAGACATTAAACAAATTAATACGTTCATTATGTTTCTCTGGTAAGAAGATCTTATTATCGTTTTTTTCAAAGGGGTCAATTACTAAAAGTTAAGAACCACTGACATTGAGAAGGAAGCGGAGGAAAGGTGGAAAAGTCCTGGGGCGCCTGGGTGGCTCAGTCAGTTAAGTGTCCAACTCTTGATTTGGGCTCAGGTCATGATCTCAGGGTTGTGGGACTAAGCATCATGGCAGGCTCCCTGCTCAGCACTGAGTAGGCTTGTCCCTCACCCTCTGCTATCCCCGCCCCCGGGCTCATGTTCTCTCACTCCCTCTCAAATAAATAAAATAAATAAATAAATAAACAAATAAATAAATCTCTTTTAAAAAGATGGAAAAGTCCTAAAATTTATCAATGTAAAAAATCAGAAGTTAGTTTACTATAAAAGAAATTTTTAAAGTTCAGATAGTGACTGTCTCACTCTAGAACTAAAATGGGGACATTTAAAATTGGAAATGGATGGATATAATTATGGATATTTAAAAGCCCTGGTTTTTCTAGGCTGGTTAACATAACAGCTATAATTTAAGAGGCTAGTATACATATGTTAGAACGATTATGCTTTAAATCTAACTGTGGGAACATTTGAACAGTAAACAATGCTTTTATGATCATAAGCCTTAAACAGAAATGCAGTACATACCTTAGGGGTAAACATGTGGCGGATGCCATCAATTGAACCATTTAAAAGGAGCGCTCTGATTAGGAAGCATATAAGTACCACATATGGGAACAGAGAACTAAAGTACATGATCTACAAAGAAAAAAAAAAAGTAAATATAGGTGAGACACACTAACGACTGTATTCCTTTCGGTAGTTAAGATTATGTTTTATTCTATATTTTGACAGTCTCTGTTTTCATAGCATGACTAATAGTACTATTATTAATACGTTGTATGGCCATAATATTAGAGTGGCTTATTAGTCTCAATGGAATGTGACTTATTTAAGATCCTATTTAAGATATAATGAGAAATAGGGAAACTCCGTTACTTACACTGCTTTAAAATAGTCCACAGGTATGATGTAACTTGAACAGTGTTTTTATCTTATAGTTCACAAAACAAGCAAAATTTAAGAGAAATAATGGCTACTTTCTCCCTAATTCATACTTTTGTTTTAGGTAACAGCAACAGCAAAAAAAAAAAAAAAAAAAAAAAAGAGTCCTTTTTTTTTTTCATTAATCAAAATTCCATTATAATTCTGTAAAGCTTCCGGAGTAGAGAGTGGGCCCCTGTTAAGACTCCTAAGACTGTGAATAATTAACAATGTCAAGGTTTAACTTCCTGCTTCACAAGTGTTCATGCTCAAAGTTCCGCGAACGTTTATCGTAGAAAAGCAGTTGTCCTGACCAGATATTTACTACTTCCTTGACATCTCCTCATGGAAGCCTAACAGGTCTCTACAACTTTTCAGGTACAGGAAAAGAACTTCTGACCTTCCCCACCCGTCTCTGTCCCAGCAAATGGGGTGACCATCCATCTAGGTGCTAAAGTCAAACATCCAGACGTAGTCCTGCCCTATTGGTAATACTCTCCGAGTTTCCAGGCTACCACTCAGGTTATCTTATTCCTGAGTCATGCACTCCAGGGATCTTTAACACAATTGCAATAAAATGTGAATTCCTCTCTCTTAAGCTGTAAAGCCTCTCATTAGAGTGCCTTCCCGTCCACCCCACCACCCCTTCCCCCAACAGAGCTCTGCCCCCAGGGCCTTGCCAGTGGCCTCAGACCCAGCTCTGTCGCTTCAGGACCCAGCAGGGCTGCACCCTCTGTCTTAGGCTCTCATCTCCTGGTCTGTAGGACTCGCTCTCCTGCTATTTGTGTCTTACCTTCATCACCAGTGAACTGAAACACGGGGGTCAATGGAATGAACAGAAAAATACAGGTCTTTTAGGTATTGACATAAAATTTCAAAAAATTTCTTTGATGAAATAAGGCAAGATTATGAGTGACTTTAGCTTTCACTATAAAACACGTCTTTATGTTCTCTCTTTTAATTTAAACACATTTTTTAAAGCACCACTTCTCACCACCGATCATTATTGAACTCCCTAGAATGACATGGTCCTTGTAGCTTGCCCACAGACATTTCTAGGGGAGCCTGAGGCAGGAACCATCCACAGGAGTGGTGATTAGCAGAAGCAGGAGGGGCTCTATCTAGCATACTAACTTTGCCAGAAGACTGAATGCCTTTGATCATAGCCAAGCAAACCACAACCCAGGCAGCCAGCAAGCAGACGGTCATCTTCCAGTTTAAGCCTCCACTTTCAGAAATGGAACTGGAAATATTCAGGGCTTCCCTGTACCAGTAATAGGTGGTGGCAGAACTTTTTTCACATTCCGGCTCTACAACTGTAGAAAGAAAGATATTACAATCATTTCAGAGGAAGAGTAATGGCATTTTTCTTCTCCCCAGTAAGCCTGTAAATCAGTCCTTAACATTTACTAGGAAAGTACTATTATTCTAGAGATGCATTTAAATTCACAGTGAAAACTCAATTGAGCAAAGTTGTGAAAAATCCAGACATATATTCTTGCTGGTGGTTTTTATTACACATTTCTGAAATAGGAATGTGTAAGCTTTTTTTTTTATCAAAGTAAGTGAAGCACATCAGGTTTATAGCCCCTTCCATGCCCAGAATTATTTGACTGAATTCCTGTGACAGAGCTGTCAGATATGTAGCTGCTGGTCATACGTGACTCATGAAATGAAGCTAGTCTAAAGTGGTATGTGCTGTACATACAAACTGCGAAGAAAATTTTAGAGACTTAGTCCAAGAAAAATAATGTAAACAAGTACATCAATAATTTTTATATTAACTATTTGTTGAAATGTTAATATTTTAGAAAAACATTTCCCCTACTTCTTACTTGTTTCAATGTGGCTACTAATAAATTTTAGACTATATATGTGAGTTGCATTCTATATTTACCGGACATCACTACTATAGGGAATTGTCCTTTATTTATATTCTAGGGTTTAAAAATAAATGATGGGAAAACTATGAAACAACGGAACTAAAGGCATAAAAACAATTCAATCCAAATTCTTTTTGTCCTATTTTTATTTTTTTATCTCCTTTATGATTACTTGCAGGTCCTTTAAAAAAAAAACTTGTGTTACTGAAATATAGTTGACATAGAATGTTTTATTCATTTCAGGTGTACGATATAGTGCTTCCACAGTTCTGTACATGACGTTATGCTCGCCACAATAAGTATAGTTACTACCTGTCACCATACAATTATTGCAGTATTACTATCTTCCTTATGCTGTACTTTGCATCTCCATGACTTACTTATTTTATAACTGAAAGTTATATTTTATTTATTAACCAAAATGTAAGGCATCAAGAAAGATGTACAAAATAAAAACTGTCAAAGTTAACAACTGAAGGGTTATTTTACCCTAATGCCACATGGCATGATAAAATAACTTAGGAAGAGCTAGTAAAATTAGATGGTGGCATCAGTCTTCGCTCTAAGTATGCCAATCCTAAAAGTGAGGAAATCTTGTTATGACAATTTTGGAAAGATTTTTCCACCTTATTTTTTTTCCCCACCTTATTTTTAAAAAAGAAAAAAAAAACAACCTCAAAATCTCATTAGCAACTTTATGATCATTCTATACCAAAACACTACAAGATACATGTCTTACAAGTGTGTGAAGCATTTTTCACCAAAGGACATTGATCCCAAGGAAGAGGTTGCTGAAAAGACTGAGAAAAATAAAACAGACTCCAGCCAATGATGACATTGTAGTAGAGAGCCACAAAAAAGCACACCTGCAAAACAAAATAGTGAGATTATATTACACCTCCCATGCCCCTTCCTTTGAAACAAGATGAAATGCATAAAACCCCATTTAACCTATTAAAAATCCTCCTCATTTCATTTTTATTTGGGACACATTATTTTTTTCTAAATAGATGTTCCTGTTAGATCTTAAGAACATGCATTATATAAAAAAAAAAAAAAGAACATGCATTATCAAGATGAACCGTATTAATATTTACAGCTTGGTTAGTGTATTAGTGCAAACTCCAATGGTGTTTTTTAGAAACACGGTTAAAGAGTTGAATGGAAATATACACTCAAAGGTTTCATTTAAATGCAAACTACACAATTCCAAACCCTGTAAAAGTTATATGGCATATACCATACTAGGAAACTTACTACACAACTTGCAAATCCAATGCCACCCAGTTTAGGGCTTATGTAATTCCACACACCAATGCTTCCTCGCCGAATTCTTTGACCCACAGAGAGTTCCAGGAAAAAAAGGGGAATACCTATTACCAGTAGCAGTATTAAATATGGCAAAAGATATGCACCTATAGAGACAAGAACAAATAAAATAGATGACATTTTCAACAGTCACAGTAAAGAATACACTAATTTTGAATATTTCATAAAATATTTGAACTTCTATATAGTATAATTATAAAAGACTTTAAAGAAAATGCAACTTCACCGTTTTAACCTTTCTAGTATTTGAAACCTGAATTTGACTGCTACATAGAGTTTTTGATAAAAAATAACTATGATAAAAGTGAAAATATAGGGGCTCCTGGGTGGCTCAGTGGGTTAAAGCCTCCGCCTTCAGCTCAGGTCATGATCCCAAGGTCCTGGGATCAAGCCCCGCATGGGGCCCTCTGCTTGGCAGAGAGCCTCGTTCCCTTCCTCTCTCTCTGCCTGCCTCTCTGCCTATTTGTGATCTCTGTCAAATAAATAAATAAAATCTTTTTTTTTAAAAAGTGAAAATATAAAGTTTCAATTTCCTTTTATTGAAAGGATAAAACAACTTCATATTCCATTAAAAAAAAACTGATTCCTTAAAATTAATTATTTTCTCAAGTAGGTTCCACAAACTCCTGGAATTGTTACTCACACAATGCTCATGAAGTCATTTATTAAATATTATTCAAACTCACCTAAACATGCATTCCAAACCAGATAAATTAGAATGAATGAGATTTTATAGTATTAAAGTTTACTTTTTACCCTAAATAGCAATAGGGGAGAAAAAAATGGCTGCCCAGATTGAGAAAGAAAAAAAAAAGGAAAGAAAAAGAATTTATACCTCAGACAAATGTAATTTTTTTCCCATATATACTTCATTTAAAAAATAAATTTCAGGGGCACCTGGGTGGCTCAGAGGGTTAAAGCCTCTGCCTTCGGCTCAGGTCATGATCCCAGGGTCTTGGGATCGAGTCCCGCATCGGGCTCTCTGCTCAGCAGGGAGCCCGCTTCTTCCTCTCTCTCTGCCTGCCTCTCTGCCTACTTGCGATCTCTGTCTGTCAAATAAATAAATAAAATTTTTAATAAATAAATAAATAAATAAATTTCAGGATTTTTTTTTTTTTTTTTTAAAGACAAACAGAGAGCATGTTTGCATTCTGAGGGATGCTGAGGGGTTGGGAGGGCAGAGGGAGAAGGAGAGAATCAACCTTAAGCAGAATCCATTCCCAGTGTGGAGCCTGTCACATGGCTGGATCTCACAATCCTGAGATCGTGACCTGAGCCAAAATCAAGAGTCAGAAGCTTAACAGACCGAGCCACCCAGGCACCCTAAAAGGAATTTTTTAAATTTTCGAAAATTCTGTGAAGGGGCATTGAGGCTGAGTGAGACACTAAATATTTAATACCTATTGTAAAATATATGTGCAAATATATATATCCATGTAGTAAGGTTTTCATACTTAAGAAAATTATCTTATAGCCAAATCTCAAATTAAGACATATGACTAATTATTTTAAAGTGGTTATTTTAAAGTGACAATGTTAATATTAGGTTCTCTTAACTGATAAAGTTAAATGTGAAATGTATTAATTCCTACGTAAGAATACATATGCAAATTAGTCATTAAGTAATCACTAGAATGGACTTCCTACATTCAAATTTCTTATCTGGAGCTTTGTCCAACTGGGGACTGTCAAATTAGTCATGCAACTGATGGTGTCGATGCCCTTTTCAAATAAGAGGCCATTATTGTATTTTCCCATTTTATTTTATTTTATTTTATTTTATTTTATTTTATTTTATTTTATTTTTTAAAGATTTTATTTATTTATTTGACAAAGAAAACAATAGCAAGAGAGGGAACACAAGCAGGGGGAGTGAGAGAGAGAGAGAGAAACAGGCCTGCTGAGCAGAGAGCCTGATGTGGGGCTCCATCCCAGGATCTCAGGATTATGACCTGAGTTGAAGGCAGATGTCCAATGACTGAGCCACCCAGGTGCCCCTATTTTTCCATTTTAAAAAAAGTGCTTAATGGTATTGAATAGATTTTGGAAGCTGTTCAAATTTTTCTGGTAGTTATTATGTTAAAGAAGTAAACTTTTTTTCAAGATATGTATCTCAGTTTCTCTATATAGCTCTGAAATAATGACCATATACAAGAATTTCCCTAATATAGTGGTCCATAGAAAATCCCTACTTTCTTATGACTGATTTGCAGTCCTTTGGACTTGAGTTGATTCTACAGATGGGTATATAATGTAAAGCATGGATGCATGAAGTCATAAAACAGAATGATAAAATACCTAATTCTAAAAAGATTAGGAACATTGGTGCTAATGATCTGAAAATGTTTCCCAAAGGACTGAAAGTGCATTTTAATACATGCACCTAATCCTAGAATGTGAATGAATTTACGTACGTGTGAATGACTAGAGACAGAATGAATTAAAACTGGATTCACTGGGAATCTTTCCTCAGTGATGTGTGCATGGCATGCTGTTAGATGCTTAGCTTTCTCTTCTAACTCAAATTACTATTAGCCCCCATATTAAAAATAGTCATAATTAAATAATTAAACTAAAGAAATAAAAACATCATAACTAAGATATAACTGAGCATTTGCTATTTGCCACTCATATTTCTAAAGATGTTACATGTACTTACAAGAATCCAGTGGGGTAAATACCATTATTATCACTTTACAGGTGTGGAAACTAAACCGGGAGAAGTTAACTTGTAAAAGGTTACATGGCTAGTATTGGGAAGAGCCAGGCTTCAAGGCCAAATTGAATTCAAAACTTGGGCTGGTGGTTTCTATATTACACTACTTATTAAGTTTAACCATTGTACTTTTAAGTTTAATATCTTCGGACAAATCAATTCATGCTTGGTCTATCACTTTTTTTTTTTTTTTTTACTTTCTTTATTTAAGAAAGAGAGAGAGCATGAGCCAGGGGGAGGGGTAGAGGGAGACACAGACCATGCTGAGGAGGGATCCAGATGTGGGACTCCATCCTAGGACCCTGGGATCATGACCTGAGCTGAAGGCAGACACCCAACTGACTGAACCACCCAGGCGCCTGGGTCTACCACTTTTTAGTTGTATTACTCATGAAGTGCCTCAAGTGACAAATGAGATTCAAGTTAGTCTGAGGCTATTTGACTAAACAGCCAGAAAACACTACTCAAGTATCTGGAAGGCTCAATGCTATACTGCATGTTGGGTACAGACTTTTGTTCCCTGATGCCATTTTGAAACAATAAATTCCACTGGCATCTTATAACATCACTGTCTAGTATTTGTGATTAAAAGGGAGGAAACAATAGTAGGAAGAACATTTTGACTCTTTCTACATATGAAAATGAGGAGGAGCAATTTTTGTTAATGACTAATTTCTAAATATGAAATCCTTTGAGTTCTCCCTAGACAAAAATGGTATTAAATGGAAGGCAAGGTGACTTCAGCCAAGACAGCCTTCTTCCTTAACAGTCTGGCCAGTAAGGCTCATGAGGTGAAAGGCTTAAAAATCAGAATTCATCTTCTGCTAGTCTTGGCAAATGGGCTGGTTCCTGAGAAACAAAAAGCAGGGTAGTATGTAGCTGCTTATATCTGATTTGATAAATAATTCATATGTAGTGTTAATGACTAGCAAGGAGCTTCCAGCGTAGGTGGAGGGATGCGTAGTGTATCACAGACTTCCTGTATTGATTTTTACCTCTCAGACAGATTCATCAAAGAGGCAACTTTTTCCAAACCTGCTGTTTTGTGCCTAACTGAATAAACTAAAAAGATCTTTAACATATTTTGTCATCAGAACACCTCAGCTTTTTATCTCATACTCTAAAAAGAATTTTCACGTATGATTATACTTATTTCATTTGATTTGTACATCAAATATAAAACCATGTCTTTGGCCAGTCAACAAAACTATCACAAACTGGAATCAAATACCAAAATATTCTTTCTACCCTTTGTGTGCTGAAATGCAGTTACTATAATACTTAATTTTTGACCACATTTATTTTAATAGTTTCCAATAAAACTATTATTTTAATAGTTTCCATTTAATAGTCTTCTATATATAGGTAACAAAGTTCAACCCAAATGTTAGTTAACATTACTTGACTTTGGTGTACTATAGAGCCTGTGTCCTACCTGAACAATCCATTCCTTTGTAGATGCTTTTTTTCTGATATTTAAGATAATTTTTGCTAAATAACCATTACTGGTTATATGCAAAAATCCAAAAAACTACAATGTTATGTTAATGGGAGATATTTTTGTTTAAAATTAAGGGTGGGGGTGCCTGGGTGGCTCAGTGGGTTAAGCATCTGCCTTTGGCACAGGTCGTAATCCCAGTCCTGGGATGGAGCCTCCACATGGATTTGGGCTCCCTGCTCTGTGGGGAGTCTGTTTCTCCCTCTCTCTCAGCCCCACCCCCTCACTCTCTCCTGCTTTTTCTCTCTCCCTCAAATAAATAAATAAAATCTTTAAAACAAATGAAATTAAGGATGCTAACTTCTTTGAAGTTTTCTTTGAAACTAAGCATTGTCCCCAAATACTGCAGCATTAGAAATCAAATATATATTATATCTAAGGGTGAAGAATGTCTGGCATTACATTAATTATCTGGTTAAATCCCTTCTCCTGGGATCTACAAAGTTCTGGTCAGCACTTCAACACCTTAATTATTCTATATTATATGCAATTTTTGTTTTTGAAAAGTGAAATAATTTAAAATTCAGAGTTAATAAATTGTGGAGAGAACACTCTTTCTGACTTATTTCACCAGGACTGTCTTATACCGGAAACTTTGGTTTTTTTGCCAAAGAGAATAACTGACAGGCACCAGGGATGCCTCTAACATTTTTGTTAGAAAGGTCAGTAATTTAGCAATGTTTAATAGCATCCACAGAAAGAATCTGAGAGTGTATTACCCTCAAGCAATCTTTGAGTATTCATAACAAGCCATCTGCTCCTACGGAAACCTAATCTGAAAACAGAATTGAGCTCACTTCCAACAAAGGAATCTCCCTGGCTTTGCAGTGGAATCCGTAGCTTCTGAAATAATGAGGCTGCAGAAAGAACACAAGCTATTCAAGACAGTCAATTGCGATTTATTCAGCAATGTATCACTTAACAACAGAAACAACCCCAAAACTTACCGCCTCCATTCTTCTGACATAGGTATGGGAATCGCCACACATTTCCTAAACCTACAGAAAATCCAACTTGGGCCAAGATGTACTGTAGCTTACTGTTCCAAGCTGGCCTTTCATCCTCGACTTCGGACTCGTCTTCAGCATCTATATCTTTCTCTTCTTGAACATCAACAATTAGTTCACTCTTCTTAAAAGCATCATCAGCTGAGTCTTCATTGGAAAGAAGGTCTTTAACAGACTCAATAACTTCATCGTCTAATTCTCTTTTTACCACCTTGCTATTCTTCGGCATTGGAAAGTGGGGGTAGAACAATTTTTGTTTTAAATTCCCTGACGGTAAATGTGTTAATTCTTTTTTGAAATGTGTTAATTGATATGAATAAAAGATGGAGAGGAGTATCAAATAAATCCTTGGCTCAAGGTGACAGAGTCTTAATGGATCCTGGATCCCTGTATGTCCAATATCTTATGGGTACCTGTAAAATTTTAAGTTGAAAACAATAATATTTAATGAGGAACAACACTTAAAATACTGAAAACTCTTTATTATTAATTTTTATGACAAAAACTCTTTCTACAGAGTATAACATCTGATCATCCTTTGCCCTTCAGAGCTTGGTATGACCAGAAGTGTAAACAGTATGAAGTACACATGTGCTTCAGACACACTTTCTTTTAACTATGTCTTCCTTTTTGCATAAGTCTAATTTGATCTCAGGTATATTCTAATGCCTAATAGATGCTATTTGTTAGTAATTAAAATTTTCTGACTTTTTTTTCTTAATTCTTCCTTTTTACCTCTGACTACAACATATCCCGCATTTTATTCCTTCTAGAATTTTATATACAATTGCATGCCATCCTGTAAATCTGTCTTACACAGACTCTCTTCTGTCCATATATTCATCATTCACTCACTTGATATTATTTGTAATATGGATAAAATTCAGAGATATAAACAGTAATGCATCATATGTGATCAGCTTTAAAGGAGCTTATCTCTACTGGAGAGAAAGGCACTCCCCAAATAACTACACCACATTACTTAATTTATATGACCCAACGTCATTAGAATGCAAGAGGTCAGGAAGGGTGGATCAAAGTGGCATTCCTGTTGGGCAGGGATGGAGTGGGGCCTCACCAAACATCAATACCATAAACAGAAGCAGGACGTGGTAACCCTTATTATTTGTGTAAACATTCTCTCACATGACCCTGAAAAACCCACTGCCACCACTTTGGCATTTTTCCCTTTCTTTATATCTTTGTATGTTATATCTCATATCCTTTTCTCTGTTCAAATACAGACCAAGTAAGGGTATGTATAGGGTATGTCTATAAACCAGTGACATTTTCTATTTTAAAAAGTGTTCATACAGGGGCACCTGGGTGGCTCAGTGGGTTAAAGCCTCTGTCTTCGGCTCAGGTCATGATCCCAGGGTCCTGGGATCGAGCCCCACATCGGGCTC